CTCTTGAGCCCAGGAGTTGGAGGTTGCTGTGAGCTGTGATGCCACAGCACTCTATTGAGGACAACAAAGTGAGACTCTCTCTCTCAAAAAAGGTAAATTTGGTATATAATCTGTGTTGGTAATGAAACATCACTAGTAATCTGATATAATGATAATTTTTTTTAAAGCAATTCTTTATTCTATTACTAGGTTCTGTGTGGCAACTTGGAAGGATGGCTCAAGCAAGATCAGCATTCTCTAACTTGGTAAGATATTTTCATTTTTATTTCTGCAAGAATATGAAGTTTATGCACATGACTTTAACCTAATAAGCATAAAGTAATACCCAAAGCTATCATCAAGTATCATCGTTTATATTTAACTGGTGATCTTGACAAATAACAGATCTCACAAAGGAAGAGTATGTTTAGACTTGAGTTGGGTTAGTTACGGAAAATATTGTACGTAGTTCAGGGTAGTTTACGTGTGATGGGGAGGATAGCCAAGTAGATAAGATGAACCAAATAAAGCAATGATCAAAATATCTAGTAGGGAAAATACAAAACAAAGACTAGGATGAAGACCAGTTTGTGATTTTTAGCCCTCATCTGCCATTGACTTAACTGGGCACAGGGAAGAATGTTGGTTTGAAAGGGGAACTCCTTTTCCCTAAAGAATATTTAGCAGTGGCTCAATAACAAGTACAGTGCAGTACCTGACAACTTTATTTTTTTATTTTTTAAAGCTTCTCATTTTATTTTTACTTATCATTCTTTTTCTTTTTTTTTTAGTATCATGTATTAGAGGAAATGGAATATTTCCTTTTGAGACAGAGTCTCACTATGTTGCCTTCCTTAGAGTGCTGTGGCATCACAGCCCACAGTAACCTCAAACTCTAGGGCGTAAGTGATTCTCTTGCCTCAGCCTCTCAAGTAGCTGGGATTAAAAGCACCTGCCGCAAGGCCCTGCTATTTTTTTTTTGTTGCAGTTGTCATTGTTTAGCCGACCCAAGCAAGGTTTGAACCCACCAGCCTGGGTGTATGTGACCCGGTGCCGTACTCACTGAGCAACGGGTGCTGCCATAGCTCAGCTATTTTTTTGTTGTGATTGTCATTGTTGTTTAGCAGGCCCGGACCTGCCTGCCCCAGTGTATGTGGCCAGCACCCTAGCCACTGAGCTATGAGTGCCAAGCCTATTTTTTTTTTTTTTGAGATAGTATCTCACTGTGTTGCCCTGGGTAGAATGCCATGGCATCGTAGCTCATAGCCACCTCAGACTCTTGAGCTCAAGTGAATGAATTTCGTGCCTCAGCCTACCGAGTAGCTGGGGCTACAGGTGCCTGCCACAATGCCTACATTTTATTTTTTATTTATTTTTTATTTTTTTGAGAGATGAGGTCTCACTGGCTCAGGCTGGTCCTCAAACCTGTAAGTTCAGGCAGTCCACCCGCCTAAGCCTCCCAAGTGCCCTGACAAAAGTTTTTGTAGATGCTTCTTTCTTGTCCCTTATTCCCTTATAATGTTTGCTTTCTTTTTTTTTCCAAAAAATCTCAGTTTGGTGGAGAACCGTTGTCATATACCCGATTTAGTTTGGCTCGGCAAGTAGATGGCGATAACAGTCACGTGGAGATGAAACTAGCTGTAGATGAAGAAGAAAATGTTGACAATAACATGAGGCCCATTGTCACAAAACCAAAAAAGTTTAATGGAACTGTTTGCTATGCAACTATTGCTATAATCATCTTTTTTGTGATTGGTGAGTATGGGCATTCAAAACTTAGCTGTTCCTTATAACCAAATATGAACAGATATTTGTACCTTTTCAAGAATCTCTGAAATTTTGTACCTTTGTAAAGTGCCAGTAAGAAGATAATCATGACTAAGATTCTATACCTGTTGTTGAATTTAGTCTGGGAGAAGAGAGAAATGAATCATGGTAATATATGTAAATGTTAATGCTGGAAATAGGCATAGGATATCTGTAGCATAGGAGCTCCATCTAAGACTTCAAGGGCAGCTTCTGGGAAGAAGTTACCTATGCTTTGAAGAAGTAATTGTTTGAAA